CTGTGGCACTGCTCAGGTGTTATGATAGCCCAGGTTGCTCTAATAGTGGCTTTTAGCTCTTCTGAATTGTTGGGTCTGGTGTATTGCATCTTCTTCTTCACAATACCCCATAGATTTTCTATGGGGTTAAGGTCAGGAGAGTTTGCTGGCCAATTAAGAACAGGGATACCATGGTCCTTCAACCAGGTACTGGTAGCTTTGGCACTGTGTGCAGGTGCCAAGTCCTGTTGGAAAATGAAATCTGCATCTCCAAAAAGTTGGTCAGCTGCAGGAAGCATGAAGTGCTCTAAAACTTCCTGGTATGTGGCTGCGTTGACCCTGGACCTCAGAAAACACAATGGACCAACACCAGCAGATGACATGGCACCCCAAACCATCACTGACTGTGGAAACTTTACACTGGACTTCAAGCAACGTGGATGAAGTGCCTCTCTTCTTTTCCTCCAGACTCTGGGACCTTGATTTCCAAAGGAAATGCAAAATTTACTTTCATCAGAGAACATGACTTTGGACCACTCACCAGCAGTCCAGTCCTGTTTCTCTTTAGCCCAGGCAAGACGCTTCTGACGCTGTCTGTGGTTCAAGAGTGGCTTGACACAAGGAATGCGACAGCAGAAACCCATGTCTTTCATACGTCTGTGTGTGGTGGTTCTTGAAGCACTCACTCCAGCTGCAGTCCACTCTTTGTGAATCTCCCCCACATTTTTGAATGGGTTTTGTTTCACAATCCTCTCCAGGGTGCGGTTATCTCTCTTGCTTGTACACTTTTTTCGACCACATCTTTTCCTTCCCTTCGCCTCTCTATTAATGTGCTTGGACACTGAGCTCTGTGAACAGCCAGCCTCTTTAGCGATGACCTTTTGTGTCTTGCCCTCCTTGTGCAAGGTGTCGATGGTCGGCTTTTGGACAACTGTCAAGTCAGCAGTCTTCCCCATGATTGTGTAGCCTATAGAACTAGACTGAAAGACCATTTAAAGGCTTTTGCAGGTGGTTTGAGTTAATTAGCTGATTAGAGTGTGGCACCAGGGGCCATCAATTTTGAACCTTTTCACAATATTCTAATTTTCTGATATGATGAATTTGAGATTTTCATTTGTTGTCATTTGTAATCATCAAAATTAAACAAAATAAACATCTGAAATATATGAGTTTGTATGTAATGTATGAATATAATATACAAGTTTCACTTTTTAAATGGAATTACTGAAATCAATCTACTTTTTCATGATATTCTAATTTTATGACCAGCACCTGTATGTTTGCTCCTTTGACATGTCAATTTTTCTCATGTAGCAATCAGCCTGAAAGGATCGTTCTTCTCTTTTTTTTGAAGTCAAGCTTTATAAAGTATTTGGCTGCTGCTAAACGGCGATAACAAATGAACCCCTTTGTGTGAAAAGAGGATATTTAAGCAGTTTGAAATATCCTTACAGCCAGTGAAGGAGGCTACAGTCTCTGTAAATTCTGCCAGCAAACACCTTGGCCATATGGATGTATTTAGGTTCAGACTTTGGAAAAATATGGAATACTTAAAGCTAAATGTAAGCAGAAATATTGAGAAGCCTAACTTCCCCCCAAAATAATATCAGCGATGAGAACATTTTACTCCAAAAATTGCGGTGCTGATTCTTCCAAAACAACCTGGATGTGTTGTAAAAACCTTCTTTAACAACAGAGACTGAGGTATCGGCCATAAAACAAGCCATCCGCTAAGAAAGATGGCTGTTTTTAGCAGCAGAGAGCTCATTTGCAACTTTGGGAATTGTGCCTCCGTGTGCCAAGCAGCCTTGTGTCACTCTGGGGACCCAGAATAAGGAGAAGGAAACAAGAAGGAGCGACAGTAAGAGAGAAAAGCAGAGGCGCAGCAAAAGGTAGAGAAACACTGAAGGATGGAACGACTATACAAAAGAAAAAAAGAATGCTTTACCCAAATCTCATTTGTTATGTACGCACACACAGAGATACATGTGTTTCAATGTGCATCCTCTGAGCAGGATTATACCATCTAACTTAGTGTAGCAAAACACACAAGGATTGATTGTAGTCTGCTTATATAAGAGACATTTAACCACAAGAACATTTTAACACATAAAATATAGGAATAAAATAGGAACCAGTTCTAACCTGATATTTAATTCAGGTTTCTGAAAGTTTTAAGACAAACATCGAGAGCAACCTCTGCCTGAATGATATAGGAGCTTGAATTCTGCAGATTGGAAAGCCTTCAAAGACTTCCAGCTCTTATTGCTGCAAGCAGTTTTTTAGTTTATGGTAAATTAAATATAAATATGTGGCTTAATTATCTTAAAGCAAGGTCTGTTAACTACTTGGCATCATTTCAGCTTAATATTTCTAGTGGAGTGGATCTTAAAGCAAGATTTATTTTGCTCTTTTAAATCAACATTTTAAAAGTAGAGATGGACTGATAAATAACTGATAGCTAAAACGCCTTGCAGTAATAGTCATACTCCTTGGATTTTCACATTTTGTTACATTGAAATTAAACTCTTCAGTGCATGTTATTTAGATTTTTGTCATGAACCAAAACCAAATACTTCATAAATCTAAAGTGCAGGGATTTTTTTAATTCATAATGGGCCAGCCTTGAGTCATAGCCTACAGTCATAGTTCCAAGTCTTTTAGGACACAGCCATTTGAATAAATTGTATACCAAGCCAAAGTTACAAATGATATTTATTATTTGAAATTAAAACATGAAAAAATGTTTTTTCTGCCTTGAATAAAAAAAGAAATTAAATGCAATTACATTAAATGCCTTTTATTGCAGTAAAAGTAGTGACAAAACATAACAAAAACAAGGGTCATATTTTAGAAAAATATATCTGACCAGCCAAAATCTTTCTAATATTTGAACCATTTCAGTTTGAGGCTACCCGGGAGAAATGCAGTCTTACCAATATCAGTGGCACATTTACTGATAAAGGATTTGTAGCACTCTAAAGTTAAAATAAAATACTACTTTCTTTTGAAACTGTTCTGCTCTCACACAGGCAAGCTTGATTATTACTTGTGTACATCCTTTCACTCAAATTAAACACAAATTTAAAGGATACAGGCAGATGATATGAAAACCCTATTAGCCCATTACCATGCCCATTAGAACCCCTGGCTTACATTAACAGCTAGTAGAGAGTTAACCACACATATGGCAAAGTTCAAGTGAATACAGAAATAGTATGGGAGGCTAATATCATAAAATCAAATACCTCTTCAAAATTATGTCACAACATAGGTACATTACTGTTAAAGATATTCCAATGAGACTTTGTACCATCCTTTCTTGTAGACTTAAGTTTAGGGGTTGAAAAACAAAAGAAACTAACTAATATCTGGCCACTAAAGGGTAGCAAAGAAAGACAATGGTCCACCTGCAGGTCACATGTAACTTAAAGGAGCTAGCCTTTTATGAAGATTTTATACTACTTTTTTCTTTTTCTCTGAATGGGATTGAGGGCTGGACGTAAGTCACCCATGGGCCAGAATCTCAGGTTGATTGCCAGTTAAGTAGCCCTATTTTGAGGCATGTCTTTGCCTGCAATGAAAGATTTTTTTTCTAATTTATGCCAAATGGCTATATCTCGGTCAGATTAGATGGAGATAATCTGTATCATCAATTTTTAAGTCATGAAAACAATTTGAAATTAGATTTAGTGATTGGAAAATCTGGGTGTGTGTGAAGGATAGTTGTCCAACCAAAATGTTAACTTCTGCCATCATCTCCAGTCATTTGCAGCCTCTAAAATGTTTCTTTTCAGGATTGTCCCAAGTGTAGCTCCCTATCCATTCTACTTCAAGCTGATGTGCAGTTTTTCCACCTCGCTGCATGTTGGCCGGAAAGTTTTGCCTCAGTCTCATCTCACCAGAGAACCTTCCTCCAGATGTTTCTATACAAGGCTTGCGGTAAAATTAAACAGGATGTCATATGACTTTCTTTCAACAGTTGATTTTGCTTTCCACTCTTCAATAAACACACCATTCATGGAGAGCATGAATCATTAGTGTTCCCTCAAAAGCTAGTACCACGGCTTTTGCTCCATCATAACTTCAGATTTATGATGGACTTTCCTGGAGAGGACCTGTGGTGCTAGTAAACATTTGCCTTTTGTATCTCTGCTTCTTGTTGTATGTCTGCTTCTGTCTCCTTGAACCCAAATAGACCTTAATAGAAGGTCCCTCACACTGAGCCTGGTTCTGCTGGAGGTTTCTTCCTATTAAAAGGATGTTTTTCCTCTCCACTGTCATTGCATGCATACTTCATGTAAAGGATTGCTGAATAGTCAACAACAAAATTCAAGCAAATACTGTCACCACAGGTTTACAAAGTTCTCCTTCAGGAGGAGCATGTCTTGCATGTCAATCACTCAGTGTAATCTGACAGAGACTTTTAACTAATCTGACTCTAGGATCTGATGGAACTGTTTTGATACAATATAAACAAGGTGATATGAAGTAAATTCATATTTATACTTAAAAAGACTTATACTTTAATCTTTAGAATGCACATACATTTTATTTAAATATTTTTGTCTAACAAGCTGAAAGATAATGCTTGGATTCAAAGAAAGCTAGCAGTGGTCAGAAGTTCCCGTTTCTCGGTTTTGTGTAAAAGTGTATAGTTATGTTGCTTTGTAGTCATAAAAGGTGTGCTTACACTTGTTTACACTTGGGGAAAAAAATATATATACCAGGTGAAATACAAAACTTCAAAACTAAGATCATTTTGCAAACAATTTATCCAAAGCAGCAAACTTAATTCTAGGGAAAATTAAAAGCAACATCATGTATTTATGTATGTATGCATTGCATACCCTAGTCTTAAAGAAAGCACGTCGAACTGCAGGCTGTGCTGCTTTTTGAAAGTGGTTTAGTTTTTATTTATCCATAAATATTCAGCCTGGCTGTTTAAAAATCTGAACATTCAGCACAAAGCAGCAGCAGAACTGCTGCTCTCAGGAGGTACTTGGTTGCTTCCTCCTTACCTGTGATGTTGTAGAAGTAATTGAAGCAGTTTAGGTTCAGACTGCATGGCTCTTTGTCAGACAACTCCGGGCATTGCCTGCCCACACCAGGGTATCGAAGGGTGTATGCTGTCCGCACTCGGCTGTTGTTTCTGGTACAGGGCTGAAATGGATGAAAACATAAAATGATGAAACAGAGAGAAATAGAAGTAATCTTCAAGAAAAAACCTACAAAACCAAAGTTGAGCTGTGTAGCAGAGAAGACAAAACACATGATTTCTGATTAACTTTCTCAACCATTAGGGTACATTTAAAACCTCCTTATCCCTGTTCCTTATTAGGGTGTCTAAACATAAAGACAGTTCATCAAACAGTACATTTTCTCCCTCTCTCTTTCCAGAAAGGAATCAGATTTTTCCAGCTCAAAATCACAGGGAAGCTGAAAAAGATATTCTGCTCAACCAGCGAACCATCAGATTCTCTGGGTTTAAGGGAAGGGAAACAGTGAAAGAAAATGATAGCTTTCTGAATGGCTCCAAAGCTGAATAGATGAATAAAACATGTGAGAAATTCCACTAGTGCCACTGCAGACTCCACGTTGAGAACGCAGTTGTAGAAAGTTAGAAAGTTACTCTGTGTTTTTAATTTTTTTGGGTGGTAGGTGGTGAGGGGATTCGGGTGAAGCCAATGAAACCACTTCAGGCGCTGAACATGATATTTTAGCAAGTTGTTTAGAAAGCAGCATTTTTAGCAGCAGGTTCTTAGACATCTCTGGTCTTCCAAAAATTGCATGGAGTGGACCCCGTCTTCAGAGTAATTAATTGACTACTATCTACTGTACCCACACTGTAAATCCGTATCAAGTGGCAAAGGTTCACCTAAGACAGCTAGGTGAATTTAAGTATGGAAAAAAGAAAAATGGTAACATAACACTAAAGTAAGATACTCTGTAGCACATAATGCATTTTATACATTTTATCCAAAAACAAACATTCACAAAAAAAAACTTTAAAGCTCTAAGCCACATCATTATATTAACCAACATCACAACAAGGAAAGAGAAGGCAAATATCAACAGCAGCTTTAAGAGCTTAAACAAACAAAATCCATTATGTTATTAACTTTGTTATTAGGAAGAGCTTGTGTCTACATTTTAGACTTCATACAGGAGGGAATTTCCTTCTACTTTTTTATTTTTAGTTTAGCTAAACTTAGGTAAAATTAGCTTTGATTATTCATTTTGATCAAAGAAGATTCTACAATTTTTTTATTTGGGGTTTGTGTTTTTCCTTTATTTTAATACATGTTTCTCAGTAAAACAGGTTTCAGAATTCAGTACATTTTCCTAAGAAAATAATTATTTGAATATTTGTGGCTGTCTGCCAAACCAGGCACATTATTTCCAGCTTACATATGCAGGTGTGTGTGCATCATTACATGTGAGCTGGAGACCTGCTTTGAAGTTGTGAGTCTTTATCATACATCATCTGCCTCCCTCGCTGAATGCACACTGAGCACAGAGTAATATAGGTGATGTATAAGCCACTTTGTCTTGCTTCCCCAGTTCATGGATCCCCTTTATTCCTCCTTGGTGGACTAGAAATAACCTGTTGACAAAAATTCACACACTCCTCATCATAATAGAGTACAACTAAGCTTTGTATCCTCAGCCTCAGGGAAAATATTTGAGACAAGAAAAAGACATCAAGATAAATCTCAATGGGCTTGCCAGAAGTCCAAGTCCTCTCTATATCTGCTCTGCCTGGTAGCTGATCTGTTGCATTTTTCCCTCCTGATCTGGATTCAGCACACTCACCATGCTACAGCGGCTCCAGGGGCCCCAGTCGTTGAGGACACAGTCCTCTGGGCATGGCAGCCGGCTTTCCCTGGCCCCTAGGGGCATCTCCTCCGGGTCACAGAGGTAATCCTCCACAGCCTCAGATGGGCCATCCACAGTGTTCAGCATGCACCTGTGGAACCAGTAAAAAAACAGTAGTATTTTCTATTTTACGTATAAAAATGATAGAGATTTTAAATAATTAGAAATGCATTTTGTAAATACCTGACTTTTCTGGTCTGGACACCCTCTCCACAGTTCTCCTTCAGATCCACATTGCTGACCTTCCACACACTCCACGGCTCAGCGACCCAAACATACTGTGTGCAGTCACTCTGACAGGGTACCACCTCATACACCTAAGAGCAAAGGTCACTTTTAACTGTGCTTTTAGTTTTTAAAGTTTCACACTGTATGAATAAGCTAAAAAATATAATATGATTTATTTTCTTTATGCCGTTATTGTGGACTGTGGACATTTTTCAGCAAAGCTTAATACATAGTGACGCTTTGACTCAGCTCACTGAGATTTAAGCTCCATCCTTACTGGGATAATTCTGAAAAAGAGCCTGTTTAATGCTGCTCCAGTAAGCTTCAGAACTTTGTTCATTTACTCTCAAGTAATCACATCTGTACAGTATGTGTGTATCTGTCATTGACCCACTGATGCGGGTGGCATTTTACTTCTGTGCTAAACAGCAAAGAGCAAAGCAGAGCAGCTCTTACCTGGGCCTATGGCAGCAAGTCACATCCAGCAAGCATCGCGGTGGATCAAAAAGAGACAGATGGATTAATGGGGATTAGCCAACAGCTCATAGAGCAGAAGTTTTAAATGCAACATTTTAGAAAACGTAACCAGAAAAGCCTCTGGCGTAAATACCTGTGTGTACTAAACAGACAAATCTGTGAGGCTGAAATCAACACAACTCTCAGTATGAATCCATTGATACTTCAATGCTCTGGATGGCAGCTCTTTCTTTTTTGGCAAATTTAGGGATTCTCAGAGATTTACTTAAATGTTATTTAGTTGCAGGACCAGCTGCTTTTCCTGATTAACAAAAGCCGGAGTGAATCTCATATGAGCAGAAGGGAAAGGACAACTCTGCAGACTTAAATTCACTGTTCATTAATCATGACTCCCTCTCATAATGTACCAGAATTTATGAATAAATAATAAGCAATACTAAGCTGAAGAAGGCTTTTTTTCTTCCTATCAACAACGCCAGACTTCTTGCATCACTAATGAATAACTCATGATGTCTCCACACCTGGTTGACGTGGTCCAGTTTTGGACATGGTCGGCCTCCGTTGTACGGCTTCTCTCGAAGCCACTTGGAGCGGACTTTCACTCCACTTCCGCACGACTTGCTGCACCGGGACCAGTTGGACCACTCACTGAGTTTACAGTCGGATGGGCAGGGAATGATGCACGCTTCCTCAATATAACCTAATAGAAAAAACAAAGCATAATTATCTTATTAATATTTGGCTTTCATTCTTTTTCTCACTAAATTGCTGAGTACTATCAAATGAAGTGTGGTCAGTGAACGTACTACTACTACTTTCAGCTCTAGAGTTTTAGAAATTAGACAAAAAAAAAAAAAACTTAATATCTGTTATTTTTACCATGTTGTTTATCATAATCAGAGTTCAAATTTACCAAAACACAAACCATATTCAAGTCTTGGTTCTTCTTTCCAACACTCCTTCCTTCTTTAAGGTTTACCGACTTTTGTTTCTACACATATCTTTTAAGGTGAAATCACATTGTTTCAATGATGGGGTCTAAACTTTGACTGGATCAGTGCCACAACCACATTTTCCATTTTAGCCAATCTATTGTAGATTTATAGCAGTGGTTAAGATCATGATGATGTCATATAAACTGTCTCACATTATATGTAGAGAAGTTTATAATTGAGTGCAAGGTGCAAGCCAAGCCAACTTTATATATATATATATATATATATATACACATTTGTGCTTGAAAGTTTACATATTTATTTCTTATTAAACAAAATAAATTCACACTAGTAATTCAAACAAAAAAAGTTATAAAAAATAAAATTTTACTAAATTATAATTTACTAAACTAAAATATTGTTTTTGTATGCATGTAATGGTTAACATATCAAACAAGCCTGCAAAGAGGCTGTGAAAGTGCATCCCTTTGCAATAGGATATTTTTTTCTCCCACGGTTTATTAAAACATAACCATATATGAAACATGGTTTTATTTTTTTTCCTGTTACTTTTGTTCACAGCACTTTGAGATAGACTAAAAGGTGCCCTATAAATATAGTTTACTGTCCAAATCATCATTCTTTTAATAATGATAATCATCTGCAACTGGATGGACTGCTTTGAACCTTATCTGTATTTTACATCACGTCTAAACTTCCTGTGGGACAAAAATCTTAATTGGTCAAACCGAAACAGTTTGTACATCTTAACTTTGCACAGTACTCTTTGTAGATCCCATGCAAAACACCCACTTATGCACATACTAAAAAACAAAAAAAAAAACCCTGCAGATACAATTTAGCACTTCTTCTTACGTAGAATATTTAAGGATCAGATCCCAAGCAAGACCTGTAGAATCTATGTTTAAGCTTTTGGGTATTTTGCCGTTTCTATTGGTAATTTACCATAATTTTACTGCCAAGAAACATCGTGTAACCTTAAAAACTACTGAAATCTTCCCATTTGTGAATAGTTTATCTAACTGTAAAATGTTGTTTAAAAATGACTTTGCATCTCATCTAAATTTGCTCAGCAAATTGTTTCCTTAAGGTTAATGCTGATTCCTACACTTTTGCACAGATAAAATAAACTTACAACACCTCTGCTTTTTAAATGGCCGCTCCTGCTTCTGATTGATTTTAACTGCCCACATATTTATCTTAAATCTAAGTTTTATAAATGCTGCTTTTGCATCTGAATACCAAACCCTGATACATAAAACTGTAGGACTAAAAGAGGGTGTACGTTTGTTACCATGGTTATAAACTGAATCCAGCTGTTTGAACTTTTAACCCTTGTTTCATGTTTTAACAAAATCAGTGTCTTAATTTTTAGTCAGTAAAACAGCAATCTAATTTATTATCAGGTACACAAGTCTAAATTCTAACTAAAGTAGTGGTTGGCTCTGTCATAGAGACAGTTTTTTTTTTTTTTTTTATCTTTTTTGCCTAGATCACTGGGTTATAAACCAGTGAATCGGTGCTGCTCTTTTGGAGATTTTTCTAAACCATGGCTCCTTTTTTCTCAGTTTTTTCCAAAACAAATTATTTTCCTTAACATTTAGATTTGTATGTCACATCTCTGTTCAGAGCAGAAAATCTATTTAGTGAAGAGACTATAATACATTGTAGCCTTTGTAACAGGTCACTAATTCTGTTTAGTTTTAGCAAGAAAATAAATGATGTGAGGTAAAAAGGAGAAAGCCCATCCCTGTCTGTGTCCAGCTACTTCCTCCTTATGACTGCTTTACTAATTATTGACCATTTTGTGACAAAATTTACATAGGCAACAGAATCCTTGTTGTTTTATTTTGTTATGCAATCTAAATATTTTTAGAATTTGCATTTAAAATTGGGTCATATTTGGTCACCGTGTCTCACATGGACATATACGTATGGACATATGCGTATAATTCTCAGTTACTTTAATAATACTTCTCAGCTACAGTATCACAAACCAGGATGGTAAAACATCCATGCATGATAAATACTAGGTTTTTTGGGGGGAAAAATTAAATGACGTACCAAGGGAGAAAAAAAATACACCAGGAACTTATAATTTGCAATCATGAACAGATTTACTGTAGATGTAAAGAGCTACTTTTAGGCCATTTACCATACATTTATAGATGACCTCATGCTGGAGAAGTTGTCCAGCAGCCATAAAGCACACTACCAAGTCCATGACTAAATAGCCCAGAGGAACCAGAATAAGATTTTAGAAGGTCCCAGTCAAAGTCTGGGCTAGGAACCTTTGTTTGGCCATGTTTATTGAAAACCCACAAATCTGACAAACAAGCAGCATCACAGGAGTTGGTTTACTGGGGGTCTTCAAACTATGGTTCAAGCCGAAAACCTGAAATTGGTATGGAAATCTAAGCTATGGCAAAAGGGCCACAGCTTATAAAAGCACTATATATCTGAACAGTGCTGGCAGTTGGGAAGGAGCAAGGCCCGGGAACATGGATTAGTTGTTAGTAGCTGGCTTAATGACAAACAGTAGCCTCAGTGGCAAATTTTTAAATTAGACTTAGACAGGTTTTATTTGCCATTTTGTTTACACAAGTGTAAAACAAAACAACAGCTTTCTGGACAATTTCATCTTTTTAAAAGTGCAGCCTTGAAAAATAGTTTTAAATATATATATATATATATATATATATATATATATATATATATATATATATATATATATATATATATATATATATATATATATATAGACATACGACTTACAGATTTACAATTCTAACTTTTTTTTTTATTACACTAAATGCTTCACATTGAGGAGCAATTGTTAAGCAATGCTTTATGCAGAGCTGAACTCTCATAGCTCTATCAGTATTGGAAAGGAAACTTCATCCACTTCAGGACCTCACACTGCTGAGTCCAGCATGAACTCTAAATTGCTCCTTTACTTTTGACCTTTAAGCACTTTGACATTTGTCATTTTATATCACTGACTCTGTCACTTGGAAGCACAGTTCGTGCAGGTTTTGCAGCAGCTGAGCTTGCACTTCCCTTTAAGTTTAACTGATGTGGTGCCCAGCTTTCTCTGGAAGGTTTTTAGTCCCAGTCCAGGCAGGACTTCACGTTGGATTTCTTTAAAATCAATTTGCAACCTGACACAAGTGTCTAACGTAGTTCCCAAGCACATATCACTGCTGCAGCGAGCTTTCTTAACTGTCAGGAAACCAATCTTACCTGATAGGGAGTAGCTTTTACTGCCAATAGCCCTAAATGCTCTAATGGCATTTAGGATATGTAGAAAACTGAATTCAGGAAAGGAAAAGCTCTGAAGAAACATCAAGAATCTACCTCTCCCTTTTTTAATGCATTAGAAATAGTACATTCTAAGTTATTTAGAAAAAAATAAAAAGTATAAATAAAAACAATGGATGGCTTGACTGCTTATTGTACTTTACAGTGAATATTGAAACACAGGTATGGAAAAAACATTTTAGAGTAACTTTGTCTTTTTTGCCCCTCATATTTAATTTTGCTCTTTTCACATAATATGTAAGATAAGAAGACAATGAAGAAAAAAAGGGCGGTGTATTATTTTTTCAATGTCTGGCTTTCTGAAAAGCATTCTGTTTCCTGAGATTAATTTGTGACTATTCAGATTAGCTGAAATACACCAACATACATTCATTGCCATTTGAGCATTGAGTGGCTGAGTCAGTTAATGTAAAACTTTTAGTGCCAGGAAATGACAAATGCCTGAATCCAACCTTGAGGTCTTTCTACTGTACCTACCTAACCCAATTTCAAAAGAGTAATCTCTGTTGGTCAGCAAATGAACTGGAGAATAAATGTTGAATAAATTGTTTTCAGGTCTTTATTAACATTAAAGGGATAGTTCGGTATTTTTGACATGAATCTGTATGGCATCCCCATCACCAGTGGCATGCAATCACACTGACTTACCCCTGGCAGCGTCCTGTGAGCAGAGTTATCGTCCAGTTTTGGTCAAGCCGAAAGTAGTCCGGCAGGTTTTTAGAGCCAGCGAAATAAAACGTTTCTCTTCCCAAAACATTATGTGTTCAAAAGAGCGATATTTTTGCATCCCAAAAACATTGTAGTGGAAAAAGTCACACGTCGTTATCAATTGGTCCTATTTTCTCTCTGTTCGTATCAGTGCGCGCCGTCATTCAGACAGCTAGGGCCTACTAACCTGACAACAGCCAGATGCATGTCTCCCTCCGCCCAGCTAGGAGCTAGGCGGAGGGAGACATGCATCTGGCTGTTGTTGAGCTCGCTGTCTGAATGACGGCGCGCACTGATACGAACAGAGAGAAAATAGGACCAATTGATAACGACGTGTGACTTTTTCCACTACAATATTTTTGGGATGCAAAAATATCGCTCTTTTGAACACATAATGTTTTGGGAAGAGAAACGTTTTATTTCGCTGGCTCTAAAAACCTGTCGGACTACTTTCGGCTTGACCAAAACTGGACGATAACTCTGCTCACAGGACGCTGCCAGGGGTAAGTCAGTGTGATTGCATGCCACTGGTGATGGGGATGCCATACAGATTCATGTCAAAAATACCGAACTATCCCTTTAATAGAAAATCCCTTAATTTTTTCCACAATAGGAAAATTAGTAGTTGGTTTTATAACAGTGAAATACTCAGTCTCAACAGGGCAAGTGATCTTTGTACTTCAAGTTGCTAAGTTTCTTTTTCACTGATTCTGCA